CGCTCTAGGGTCGCGCTAGTGTCCTTAAACTTGAGCTGTAGTAGCTCCCTCGGCGGCAGCTGGGACATCAGTCACTTCAAAAACTAACGTCAGCGGGAGCACGTCAGAGCGCCCGTTAGAGACTTAGAGACGGCAGTGAGGAAGGCGCTGGGAAAGACCCAAGGGCTCAGTTGGTCCCTGCTCGTGTCTATTTCTCTGCCTGAGTGGAAGCCAGAAGCTAGACCCCCCTCTCGAAACTGACCCTTTAGCCAGGAACTCTGCTGCCCCAGGAGCAGAAAGCTTGAGCTTTCGTACGTTGAACGGCTGGTGGCTTCCAGTTGGCCCTGCCGTCAGCAGTCTAACTTATAACCATTGGTGGCTCCTCACTCTGAAGCCCAGAGCTCAGTCATCATGGGCTGCCCTACCGTGGCATGAGGATCCCAGTGCCAAGACTGTCCATTCTCTCTTACGGTGGCCTGGCCCAAACCACACTCACTGCCATGAGTTGTGCCGACTCATAAGAGACCCTGTAGGACCGGGTAGAACTGCCTGTAGGTTTCTGGGTTTATAACTCTAGATGGGAGTCGAAAGCCTCTACTTTGTCTCGCAGAGCAGGTGGTGGTTTTGAACTGCTGACTTCGTGTTCAGCAGCCTACTTCATAACCAATATGCCACGAGGGCTCCTTCGTTGATCCAGTAGGACTGTGGGGAAAACATTGACTTCAGAATCATCTTAAGTGGAGAACCTTTATGTTATGTGTCAACTATGTGACCTTCGTGGGCTGTTTAGTGGCTTTGAACCTAAGTTCCTTCATTCCCAAAACACATCTCACAAAGTAGCTCTAAGAAAGAAATTAGATGATTTACTAACTAGATGTGAAAACTAGGGTATTTGGACATGTTGTTCACCTAGTTTCAGTTACTCCCTCTACCAAGCCAAGGCTGTTACTCTAAAGAGGGTGTGAGCTCCCATCTGACATAGACTAGCTAATGTCCTTCCTTTGGACCGCTCTAGCCGAAGACACCTCACAGCTTGGGTGACCAGTCATGATTAAAAATAACTTGTCCTGGGGATTTCGTTGTAATCCCCAAGTGGTGCAAACAGTTAATAAACTCTGCTGCTAACCAAGTTTGGGGGTTTTTGAAATTGATTGTGGTAGCAATTGTACAATACTGCCTGCTGTGATTGAACTATGGAACGATATGTGTACTAGCTCCTAATAAAATGGTTAATGGTTTTGGGGGAAAAACCCAAAAGATCAGAGGTATGAGTACACACAAAGGCACTTGGAATAAAGTCCTGGGGATCTATTTCTTCAAATAAATGCAGCCATGGAAAACCCTATGGACCATAGTTCTACCCTGCACTTGAAGTGACCTGAATTGAGTCGGCTTGATGGCAAGTGATTTTAGAGTCACATAGCACCTGCCTACTTGTGAAAATTAGCATACCAAATAGTGCTTTGGAGAATGTCAGACTTATAACTTATACAATGAACTTTAATTTCTAGTTCCTTCTCTCCCGGTCGGTTTGAACCACCAATTAATACTTAGCTTACTGTGCTACCAGGGCTCCTCCCATTTATTATGTAAACATTTCTTAAGTGTATACTCTATGCCAGGCGCTACTGTGCAGGATGCTGGAATTACAGTGACCTGGCCTTCAAGGGACTCCCATACTAAGGAGGAGCTAGACATGCAGCCGGTCCATCAGTACTAAGACGGGTGTGTGTGCTGGCCACTGGGGCAGCCCTTAGCATCTCTCTTGGGCAGTTTTCTTGATGTTGATTCTCATGAAGCACATAAAAGGGATGCTAGATTGCTTTCAGAATTACAGAAAATCAGGGCGGGGTGTGCTGTTCAACCATGTATTTTATAGATGAGGCCCAGAATGGTACAAGATATCCTTCAGGTCAAACAAGTAAAAAACACATCAGTGTTGACTAACTTGCAGCTGGATCTTTGGAAGTTACAAAAAACTGAGGAACAGTGACTGGGTTTGTACTGGGGCTAAGTTGTGGCGTCAGCAATACCGAGAAAGGGAAATGGAAGCTGTGTGCGGAAAGAATGGCATGTCCAGTCAACGGTGCCAGTGGACATCTGGCCATAGCCCTGACAACCTGTTTGACTTGGGCCACTTTCTTACACATGCGACCTCTTAGGGGTTTTAGAAGAGGTTGTTGGGTGTGGGCTTGGACTGGCTAACAGAACTGCAGACAACTCTGGTGGTTGGAATGCAGAAGAACTGGGACATTGAAAGGAGCTTCCAGGTCCAGAAGGGGTGAATATTAGGAAGACTGTGGTAGACAGGGTGAAAACAAGGAGAATGAAGTCATAGGAGCTGTGGTGAATCTATTGAAAAGGGTGGGTGGGAGTAGTTCATTTCGCCCTTTTATTTCTCTATGTACCAATGGAGTCTTGCTTGTTTCAGGGTTCCTGGGTGTGGCAGTTACATACTCTTCTATCAGCTTGCAAAGGGGTGGAGTCTAGCCTGTCAATCAGGTCGAAGCCTGATGACCTCATTGGGAGGCACCATGGAGATAAATAGCTCACGGCAGGGTGGGGGGCAGACCCACACTCTCTCTGCTTAGTCTTCCTGCTGACAAGCCACACAGAGGTATGCCCTGGAGTTGGAGGAGCCACGTGGAGACCCACACCAGTGCTGAGATGCTTCCACCGCACTGGATCCACAAGACTTTCCCCCCACTGGCATGTGATCTTCCTGCATTCAACATCATTGCATGTGTTGAGTCTGAAGAGGAATTTATAGACTGGTATCAGACATATGGGCTAATATCAGACTTGTGGACTCGATCTGGATTGGGCTGGGATGTTTTCTTAATCTATAATTGCTCTTTTTATAAAGTTCTTTCTTATACACACGAGTGTCTCTGGATTTGTTTCTCGAGTCAACCCAGACTAACACACCGGGGGATCTTTTAGAAGAAGCTAGTCTTAAAAAGAGAAGCCCTGGTGGTATAGCGGGTCATGATTTGGGCTGCAGACCTCAAGGTTAACACTGGGTTGGAAAACCCACCAGCGACTCTGCAGGGAAGGGAGGGGGAAGAAATGGGGAGCTGATATCAGGGGCTCAAGTGGGAAGAGAATGCTTTGAACATGATGATGACAGCATATGTGCACATGTGCTTGACACACTGGGTGAATGTATGGATAGTGTTAAGAGATGTAAGAGCCCCCAATAAAAGTATTTAATAAAAAATTTAAAAAGATTTACAGCCTTGGTAACCCAAAGGAGCAGTTCTACTCTGCCCTCCCTGTAGGGTCACTATGAATCAGAATCAACTTAGTGACAGTGAGTTTGGTTTAGTCTTAAGAGGAGAAGTTTGCAAAGGAAAGGAAAGGCACTGGGAAGTTTGCAAGAACTCAAAGAACCAGGTAGTGTTATGTACACAATCTGAAATAGTGGGGCTCTACAAGTAGATGCTTGGATAGACATGCAAGCTGAACCCGTGTTAGACCTATATCTAGGTTTAACAGAGGATACATGTGTATGGGAATTTACTTTTGCTGCACATAGATCCATGACTGTGCTGAAGCATATCCAAACCCCAAACCAAACTTACTGCCATTGAGTCGATGCCAACTCACAGTGACCTTGTAGGACAGGGTAGAACCTGCCCCTGCGGGTTTCCTAGATGGTACTCTTTACTGGAGTAGAAAGCCCCATCTTGCTCCCATGGAGGCGCTGACAGTTTTGAACTGCTGACCTTGGGGATTGCAGCCCAACGCATAGCCACTACACCATCAAGGCTCCAGTGGGGCAAAATTATGAAACTTTCTTAGACATAACCAAACTCCTTGAAGAAATGAGCCACTGGACCTGGGGGACCAGGCCCATATCATCTTAGAGAACACCAAGGTCAAGTGGCTTAACAGTTCACGAAGAAAGTGTTCTACATTCTTAAAAACTTCTGAAAATCGAGGTAAGGTGTGACTTGTTAGTCTCTCCTGTCAGGAGGAAAGCAGAGTGATGAAAACCAAAGACACCAGAGACAGACCCCAGGACCAAAGGATCCGATGGGGCCCAGGGACTAGTACTACCAAGTACTCTGAGTGGGAGTAAATGTGGGACAGAACTCAAAATCCTAAAAGAAACTGGCTTACTGGGGGGACTCCCAGGACTATAGCCCTTACCCTTCAGATCTGGTGGAAATGAGCTCACCTCTGAATTAGAATGCCCAACCATGTAACATCAAAA